GCATGGACTACCACAGCCAGCTTTCTCCTTAGAGGTAGCCAAAAATGACTAGTGTTGACTGTATTTCTAATCTTGAGGGAAGGCTGTTGGATCAGTTTTCAGTGAGCAAATACAGCAAGACCTTGGATTGACCTTGATGGTGAAGACACTACTGTTACATCAACACAGCTCATTCTGCTACCTCTGTGAAAGAGATGAGGTGAGACTTACAGGTGTAAGTACAGAGCTCATGGATTACTGCTGAACATGTGAGTTAAAGCCCCAAGACCATTGGTGGCATTTGTCCGTTGCAAATAAGCATTCCTTCCTCATCCCAGTTCTGCAGTTCTTTATTATTAAGGTGTCCTCTCAGAGACAAACTGAAAATGTAAGACAGAATTTAAAAAATGAAGCTGCGTTACTGGCTTTCATGTGCATAGGGACAGAACTGACTGCTGCATTGGTCTGTTTGAAAATCACTGTCCTGTTACTGCTTTTATTCCTTCAGCAGGTTACAAATAGAGCTGTTTCGGTTTTAAAAGATTCCTCATATACATGCTAAAATGTGCTTATTTCATTTTTTAGAAGTGCCCGTAAAGTAGCTTGGAAATAATTGTTCCCGATGGTTAATTAGGTGGTGTTTGAAAAGCGCTTTGAAAATGAAAAATGGAGTAAAAGTGCTAAGTATTCTTGCCTAAGGTTGATTAATTATGGACAGTAAATTTTACATTAGCCTATGTGACAAATGTGAGCAAGTAGACTACATAATCTATTCAAGGAAACCCAGGCATGTTTTTCCCATTTTCCCTCTGCGTATGGGTCTGGGGATGACAATCTGGAGGTTGGAGAATTTTGTCTGCTTTATAGCTTCTTGTCCCCTTCTTCCATACTACTGAAGACTTTAGGAAAGAATTCAGATTCTGGCTTTTCAGAGCCAGCAGAGGGGCGATCCAGGGCATGGGAGCCTGCTGGGCTCCTTCAGATGTTTCCGCTTTCAACTTCACAGGAAGTTGTTAGACAGTGAGGCTACATCTATATTAGTAAATCAAACATGTCCAGCTCTCTGCCACTGAAGTCACCTGGCACTTAACTGCCCTCATCTGCACGATTAAAAGTTTTTACCCAGTGAGAATGAGGTGGTTGCATTAAGGCGCTCTGTTGGGAAGAGTCCCTGGCGTGTGCTTGCTTGGGAAGTCCTCCTGAAGATTACCTGGGTGCGTGCTAGTTGGCCAGGGTCAAAACCATGCTAGAAATTTAATAGTGGAGATGATGGAGGCTCAGTGCCTAAGCCTGCCCAGCATCATTTTACTCGTACAGATATAGCCTAAGGGGCTATAGCATCTGCCTTGATTATTTACCTCTGCTGTCTTCAGAGCACCTTCCAGTGGCGGAGGAGAACAAAGCTGGTTTCTACAGGCCAGATCATGTCATATGATGTATGCATTTTCTGACCTCTCCCAGCTGTGTCTGTTTTGGGGCAGCAATAGTGATATCTGTTCTTAAAGGGCTGATGAAACTAACAATCCAGCTTCACTTGCACTGCAGAATAGATGATAGACTGCAGGACCACTTGGTGGTTTTGACAGGTTTTAAGTGGGGCTAATGTATAAAGAGCAAATGTTCTTATCAAACCTAGACCAAATATGTGAGAGGTCTGTGCTAGTTCTTGCAAATATGATAAGTGCCTTGAATAAACTGACAATCACTTACCTCGGATAAAAAGTCTGGAGAGGTCTGTAGGCAGAAAAGGAAAAAGGGAAACCTCATGAGAGTCTGTGGAAAATACAGAGAGCATCTGTGGTTTTTTTTCCCCTTTTTTCCCCATATATGACAATTTGCTTATACACTGTAGTGCTGTGATCTTCTAAGACTAAGTTTTAAGTTCTAAAATTTTTCTCCTTAGAATGGGGGATCGGATCAGTTATTGACATTGGCACACTGGAATTAGCATAAAGGACTGATCTGAAATTGTTGGTTTAAAAGGGTATTACTCTGAGATATATCAAAACCAATGACTAGTCATAAACATTGTTGACTTACAAGAAAAGAAGTGGCGTCTATCCAAATATCATAACTGCAGAACCAGCATTAAGGTCTCTGCTGCAAAGTATACTGGAATCGTGGCAGTTGGGTCTGAAAAGAAAATACAGAAGTCTTGCTTTCTCAATCCAGGTGTCAGATCCTAAAATGCTAAATTCAGATCTGTTTGGAAAAGATTGTCACGTGTGCCTGAAAATGACTCCTGACTACAGAGCTTCAAAGAGATAGTCTTTAGCAAAAGCTCTGGTTCTTTTAGCTTTAGTGAGCAAGCTTCAGAGAGAAAAGGTACTAAGGGCAGATTTAGGCATAAGGAACTTGAGGCAAAAATAAGGGCCTTAGGCATAGCCTTTGCAGCCCCTCTGAATTTCCCTTTCTCTTCATCTATAAGCCAGACAGCCTGGTGGAGGGAACTCTGAGAGGGGTCTGTGAGCCTGAGTGTGGTACCTGGTCTGCAAATACAGGGGAAAGACTTAGATTGTGTAGGCACTGCTGGAAATAAGGAGCTGTTCGTTTGCCTCAGGTGTCCTGCTGAAAACGTGCACGCTTGCTTCTTCCCTTGTGCCTGTCCTCTCACATCACTTTCCCACACCAAAACTTTCCTGTTAACACTTAGGTGGCAATGTGATGCTTTTTGATAAGAAAATTCAACAAGACGGTTCTGCAGAGTGCTCTGAGAAAATGGTTAGCTGATTCAGAAGGAGCTGATGAAATGGCAAATTACCTGGTGGTTAAGAAGCTTGCATGAATGGTGTTCATTGGAAGGAAGCAATGAGAAAGAGAGATATTCCGAAAAGAGAACAGAGAAGAAAGCACTGATACTTGGAGGGCAGAACCTTTTCAACTTGAAAAGGAAAATCCATACAATGTACGTCTTCCCTGTTGTTTTTTTATTTTTACTCATAGAAACTTCTGAAGTCTAGTTAACTAAAGGCATGCTATTTAGCACCCCACTTTTGATTGAACCTTCTCTCAAGAATGTGTGAATGAGATGCCGAGGTGTAAACAGAGACCATGAGACATGCATCTATGGTAAGCTACACATACCCATTCTATTAGCATAATTCACTTTTGTCAGGTGCTTTATGCAGCATTTCATTTATTTTAGCAAGTTTCTCAGTTTCAAGAGCTTCAAAACATGATATCAAAGGAACTGAAACTTTATTTTGCATCAGGAATTTTTTTAAGATATAATATATGATTGTATCTTCTTCGCAGTGCTATGCAACTTGGGCACAAGCTATCACAAGTGACCTATAAACCAGATTTATTTGACACTAAATTCAAGCTGAAAACAACTTCCTAGAATCCTAGAAAAGGTAGTGAAACTCTATATACTCACTCCAAGGAGGCATTCACACACACAAATATGCATACTTTTATGCACAGATATCACCATGTATCATATTCTTGCTGACCATCTGTTTGCTTACTGTGAGCTCTGAGATGATTCAGTTGCTATGCCTTTGGGGAAAGCACTGGGTAAGACCTGCATGTAAATGTGCAAGGACACATTTGGGGATACAGTAACTCCTATGTGCTGAGACCTAACATGCTATGCCTGGCTCTATCTATCCTACCAGTCCTCCTGGTTGGGCAGTCAAGATGTCTAAGAGATCCATTACCAAAACTGGAAGACCAGAGCCATCTTACAGCAAGAGAGTGAACAAATAGTCAAATACAAATTATGGCTGAGTTTAGGTTGCCTGCAGGAGCTGGGTGGGGTTCAGGAGCACACAGAAAGCAGCTGGCTTTTGGTATCACTTAGCTCAGAGGAGCAGATATAATTGCTGTGTCTTTGTGGGATAAGGCAGAGAATAAACCAGAAGCATAAAAACAGGGGCTGTAGCTACTTTTATTTAGGTGGGAATCATCAGTTTGAAAAAACAAACACCCTTAAAAAGGGAGGGAGATGCTGAATCCAAATTGCATAATAAATAAAAGAACCCTACCTTCACACATGTCACTCGGTGAAATGGGGCTGTCAGAGCTGGAGCTTAATCTAAGGCAGATTTACCTGTGCATGAAAGTTCTATAACAAGTGCAATATTACATTACCAGTGCATCTCCGCTTATTCACAGGTAGCACAGTTATGCATTTCAGATAGGTCTGAAAAGACCCTGCTGCTGGAAGTCACGAAGTTTTCACTTACATTTCCTCAAATCCAGATTTTATGTAGCATTTTCTGTGCCCTTCGTAATGCACAATGTCTCTCTGTCAGCCTTTATAACTGAAAGTATATCACTGTCCTAAATACCTACACTGCTTTTTGTGCAATGGATTTTATTTCTGTCCTACTTTAGGAACTTTCAGAAATGTTGTCATGAGTTGGGAGCTGAAACCATCTACTTTACAGAAGTGTTCTGTTAGGCTTTTGTTACCAAGCATGTGAAAATCAGGGCTGCTTGTAAGAAACTTCACCACTGTTCTCTGCTGTACAAAGAGCTGGCACAGGCAGGCCCCACAGTTGTGTGCAGTCACATGCAGGATAGAGGCCTAGAATTTTTTGCTGTGAAGTCAGTTCGCAACTGCAGGCAATTGAGATCTATTTTCATTAGGGCTTTTCCTTCTTTTTCTCCTTCAGAGTCAGTGATGAAGGAAGCTCTCAGATCTGCCCTTATATTTTTGTCCCAGTGAAGTAGAGCTTCCTATGGCATTTTCTTTGCTCCACAACTACTCATCACTAGCACTGTGTTGATAATGTGATGACAGTTGTTGCCAAAACTTTCCTGTTCACTCTAAATCTGTTTTTCTTGGTATGAAAATAAAGATACAAAGCTCAGCAGAGAGAGAGCCCTCTGTGGTATGAGAGCTCAAGGTGACTGGGACAGAATAATTATCCAAGGACGGTGGATATCCAAGCCCTGGTGTGGGCGGGTGGGCAGGCAGCATTTTCCAGATTCCAGAGGGGAAGAGGAGAAGAGGGGTGTGAGGCTAAAGGGGGTGGGCTGGGTGGGATGTGCCTGCTGGGGGCTGCGGAGAGAGCCAGTGCTCCTCCTCTACAGGAAAATGAGCAGCCAGCAGAAACTAGATGCTTCTCACTATGGGGTGAGGGTGGAGAACCCACCAACTGCTGAGACAGTCAATAGGCATATTATTCATCACACATTGCTAGGAGATTAACTGAGCAAACGTTCTGACAAAACTGATTAAAGTCTTCATCCTGTAACAGGAGAACAAAGAGACACCAAGTTATTACACCCAGCCAAATGCCAGATGATGATTACATGTAGTGGAAACACAAAGTATGCAGTAGGTTCCTCCCCCTCCCCAAACGGAGGTGACTGTCTCTTTCTTTATCAGGTAGCATCGCAAGTTACAGTTTGTAAATACAGCTACCTGCTGAACATTTCAAAAGCCAGATTACTGAGATGTAATAGATAAAGGACACCACCCCTGAGTTTGCTTCTCTTAAAATGTTATCTCAGAGTCTTATCGTGTCTAGAGTAATCTCTCTTCTGAAGTGCATTCTTTCCCAGTATTATCACTACTGTTTACAATTGGAGATACTTAAAATGAGCTAAATACTTGACTTCCCCTTATAGTAAAGTTTGGATGGCACTCTGTCAGCTACATGTAAACTTTGAATGTGAGTGCTCCCAGTATCAGTGTTTGCACTGGTAAAGGGGAAATGGACATGACTTTTTACTGTGTTCACTAATTACCACAGTTTCTAGCCTTGCCACATCCTAAAACAAGAGAAGTAGTATCAATCAAACTCAGCCACTTAATTGCACAGTTCTGAAGACAGGGGAATTCATGAAAGAGAGCCTGAGAAAGGAATCCCTTTCCAGACAACTCTGATTGTTTTCTTTTGACAGTCAAAAATTCACTGGGTCATGGAAGTGATCAGACTAAACCTGTCAAGTGTCTACTACCTCTTAACAAGTGTCTGTTAACAAGTGTTAAACCTGAGGCACTGCTGAAGCCTATGAACTGAACTCAGCATTGATTTAGATATAACTATGTGTGTGTGTTCACTGTTTCTCAGGCATGAAAAATCTCCCCGTAAATTGTTCTGGTAATGTACAGAGACTTTTGGAAAGGAAGGCCATCGTCTGTCAGGACCCTGAGACATAAAACTAGACATTGCAGCCCCCTGAGGAGTGAGTAGCAGGAGCTGGGCGATGCCACCAGTGGCTCTTCCCTCTCTAAACCCCTGACTCTGAGGGTAAGTACATTACAACTAATTACGTCTTTGGACTGTGCTGACATGAATAAACCATTTAAGGTTAACTGTCATGCTTCTTAACCTCATAAAGCCTCCTCTTCATAGAATTAAAGCCCTATTAAAATTGTGTCAAATCATTCCCTTGTGTTGGGTTAGTTCCTATAAAATGATCTAAAAAAGCTGGGGTTTTGGGGGGAAGAGATGGGCGCACTCACTGTAATAGTGTCCAAGTAATCTTTATTATAAATGTGTTTTTCATGTGTCAGAAATGTTGATGTCAAGTATGCAGTGGCTTTTGAAAACGTCATCTAATGTAATAACAAAGATCTGTGTGAACATTAGGGAGAACATTGCTATGGTTAAGAATGCTCCAAGACTGTTAAATAATTATATTTTGCTACCTCATGGGAGTTTTTGCTTGATGATTTGTATTTATTAACTTGCATTTACCTTAGCTGTGGTTGTCAGTGCCATCTTTTTAATATAAGCAAAGAGGAAGGAAGTAGCAAATGATAAAAAGATCTATTTTGTTAACCCTTGGTTAGGAAATGACTCACATGTATTAAAAGCAGATGCAATAGAAATATTAATACTAAATCCAGAGAAGGGGGCATATAGGGATGCTGGGGATGGACTCTTCATTAGGGACTGTAGTGATAGGATAAGGGGTAATGGGTTGAAACTTAAACAGGGGAAGTTTAGATTGGATATAAGGAGGAAATTCTTTCCTGTTAGGGTGGTGAGGCACTGGAATAGGTTGCCCAAGGAGGTTGTGAATGCTTCATCCCTGGCAGTGTTCAAGTCCAGGTTGGACGAGGCCTTGGGTTATATGGTTTAGAGCGAGGTGTCCCTGCCCATGGCAGGGGGGTTGGAACTTGATGATCTTAAAGTCCTTTCCAACCCTAACCATTCTATCATTCTATCAAAAATACTGGTACAGTACAGTAGTACATACACTGTAATAATTTGTAAATATAAGTCATATACTCTTATATACTCTTATGTACATGAACATTTTATGAACCCAGTTGATGTGTTGAGGTGGAGCAGTGAAAAATTAAGAAAACTCTAGAGATCTGCAAATAATTAACATAAATTATTGTTGATTTTATCCTAAGTTGTTAACTAGCTTTATCTAGCAACATGTTGCAAGTATGTCAGCTTTTCATAGCTCACATAAATCTGCAAAACATGGTGTTAACTGTTGGGTTTTTTTTTTCTGTTTTGCTTTTGTTTCATTAAATAGGAAGCTTCTTCATCAGTCAAATTATTTGTGCAATTTTGAAAGCACCCCAATCTTTAGAAGATATCTAAAAGGCAAGCATGTACATCTGGATTGCTTTGGCAAGTCAAGGAGCTTTTTGAAATGAAGGAAACAGCTTCTCTTTTAAAAAACCATTTATACCCTTGTAAAAGGCAATAAAATATATATCAAACATAGATAGTACTGACTGCTCTTTACAGTTACTATTAAGATTTATGGTCCCTAAAGTTAAATATTGACTTTGGCATCACCTTGGTCAATATTTATCTCTCAGATCAATAAATCTTAATATTGACTGCAACTGAAGTCACCATGCTGCCTAGTGTTACCGCTGAATGATTTATATCGATATATTTTCCTGTCCCCTAGATATATCTTTTACTTTCCTGTGTTCCTGTTTGGTGATCTTGGAAGATCTTTTTGCATCAGAAAACTTTTTCTCTGTGTAGAGCGTTGTCCTTCCCTTCTGGTTGTTTTACTCCTTTCCTTATTTCTTTATAAGTTCTACCATAACTTCATAAACCATCTAAGATAGTTTATGGCATGAAAACATTTTTCCCAGTGCCTAAGTGAATGTATAACTTGTGAGAGCATACTAGGCTGGATAATTTTCATTGTGATTTTACGTACTGGAAGTTATAATCATCATAATCATCCTAATCAGTATTAGTGCTTTCTCTTATTATCCTTAAATTTCTATATTAACATTTACTTTCCTGCCTACCAATGTTTTCACTCATTTATTAGAATTATAATACCACAGAAAATTACAGTTTATTTAAAATTTAATTATCCAGTCCTATTTGGCAAGTTTTTATTTCTTTGATTTCTGCAACACAATCCAGTCCATGAAGAAGTTAGAGACACGATCACAACTAGCTTTTCATATATATAGTTTTCCTAATATTGCTAGAATTTTTGTATTAGCAGGATCTTTGAGGCTAATTGAATAAAGCTTTTTTACCAAGTTCAATTGAAAGTGAAGTTACTGATGACCTTTTCTGAATGTGACATATAGATACTTATTAAGGCAAAAATAGGTTGCTGGCTACCTTCCTTGTATTATCCTAAAACAGACCTTGAAGAAGATTTTTTTTTTTTTTTAACATAAAAGATACGTGTGTTATTTCCTGAACTGTTTTCTCACCAATAGGAATGTACAAGCGTGTTCAGTGGAAACTACCCTTTCTGCTCTTTTTTTCTTCTTCTTCTTCTTCTTCTGTTTATTTCTTACTGTTCTGTTTTTCAGTTTCTAAAAAATCTACCTTTCTTTTGTTCCCTTGTATGAATGCTGTCTGTGCCCTGACTGTGCTGGCTTGCATCAGCCCTGGTACCTCACCGCTCTGCAATCCTGTCCAAGAGGCTGTGGTACAGAACCAGCCCCAGCACTGTGTGTCCCGTGTGAATCACAGCAACATCCACCCAATCAGCCTTTGATCCAGTGTTGCTCTTTTTCTACTACACATCTCCAACCACAGTGATAGCTTAATTAAGCAATAGTAATATAGATGGTCTCTGCAGCCATATCACCTCCAAGAGTAGGCATTTGAATATGAAAGGATCCTAATTTTTTATAAAGTGTAATTCTTTCAGATGTTTGAGACTGTAAAATGTCTGTATGAGTTGTGTTCACACTTAAACAAAGGAAGAACAGGAGTTTCAAGAAACTTCTATATTTTATTTCCACCACTGGGAAAAGCTAGAAGAATGCTAATGTTAAATAATGAAATGAAGAATACTAGGCTGCTACACCCTACTGAATAAAATAGCTCTCTTCTACTGAGAGTGTCATGGAAAATCTGGTCAAACAGAAACAAAGGCCCTTCTTCTACTTCTGCCTTCTGACATAAACAGCTGTACTGCTGCATGTGATGAATTATCAGAATGGGTGAAAATCTTCCTTTCCTTCTGTTTTCTTTAAAATGAGATTGGAGTGCTCAGATGAACACAACCTCTCCCCCTATCTGAGAAACAGAGTGAAAATTGTTTCTGATGACCTTCTACATTATTTGGGTAGCTCGGCTAATTAGGGACACAGCAGAACTCCCTTGTGACTTGCTCTATCTTAATCCTTCCCAGCTAACACAGTTCAACCTCTGAACGCACCAGCAAAAAGCATTTTCAGGATGTTACTTGCAATCGAGAGAAGAAATAAGTTTTCCTCTGCTTGGATGGAAAATGGAGTGGCTGGAGGGGAAACAAAAAGGAATTCACTGGTGCATTTGTGTATGGGGAGTGAAACTGAGCAAGAGTTTGAAGTTGGAATGCAAAGTATGACTTACTCCTTATCACTTCTTAAGGTCCAAAACTTCCCCCGTTAGTGAAACTGAACAATTTTCTATACTTCCTGCCTTAAACTCTGGAGTAGCATTGTTGTGCACAGCTACGAGTCTGGCGCACTCATACTAGGGATCACAGTAAGTTCTCCAGAAATGCTTTCAAATGTCAGGGCCAGGAAAATGACAACCGTTTATCAGCTTTATTTCAGATTATTAACATCAGTACTACTAGTATTAGTGATATCATTGACACTATGGTTTAGAAGTGGAGGGAAATTAGGTATGGATATCCTATACAATCTATTGTAAACAATCTATTGACTCTATAGAGGCAACTATGGAGATCAGTGAAGAGTTTTTCAGTGTCATGCAACACTGCCAAATAAGGTAATATAGAAATATTCTCTAAATACTGAAATGCTGACCTGTCTAACAGTATATCCTGTGATGATTAACTGCTTCTCAGACCTCTAGGGAAACAAGACTGAAAATGCTGGTGACCTTGCACCACTACCTAAAGCAAGATGACACATCTTGCTCTGCCCCTGAAACTGATGGCTGCTGATGAGGACAACAGTGCTAATGTGGAGCAGTGATAGATGATTTATCCTCTGAAGCAGTCCACAGGCTTAGAACACCTCACTTGATGTGGCCTCTGACTCCTCAGCTAACTGCAGCAGAGCTGAGTAAAAGTGAGGATAGTGGTAAGACCATATAAAATTGTAAGAAGAATTAATATCTCAGTTATTGAGCAAACAATAGAAGGAAATTCCTTTTATAGGTCCTGATAACAAGCAAATCAAATTTGTAGCCACTTAAAAGCATCTGGGCACATGTGCCATGCTTCCAAGTCCTGCTTTTGAAGTTGAGAGTGACCTAAGAAAACTGTGGTGCTTTCAATGGCAGATAGAGATATGAGGCTGGAGGGACTGATCTGAGAACAAATTAGAACAATAAAATATGTTTAGCTTGGATAAATAGCAGCTAGTGGACTGGGAATGCATATAACTGACAAGTTTGGAGAAGGCTGTAAACAACAGCAAACTCAATGACAATTCTGAACAATTCAAGTAGATTCAGCTAAAGAGTAAGGGATTGTTTACACCAATAAATTCACTTTTATAATTATGCAGCATAATTATACAGCATAATTGTAATTATCCTGGAATTATTCTGAAGGAAGAGTGTCCACAAGGGGAGTTATGCTGATATAAAGATACTACAGAATTTCCCTGTGTAGACAAGCCTCAGCAAAAGAAGGGATTGTTTTTGTATAAAGCCTCTGTGCAGCTACTATTACTAGTACCACAGTGCAATACAAAACAGAGAATGTAAATTACAGGCATAGCTTTTAGTTGATTTAATCTATCTAGTTCAAGCCATGTCCCCAGAGAGAGACCTCCTACAAACACCGGCTTGTGTGACACTTATTCCTATTTCATATGAAGAGTCTTTGC